TTTGTCGCAACGTCGCGCGCGACTCGTCGTACGGTCAAGCGCGGTGAATTCTCGATGTGCATCAGTTTGTCCACTGGAGCAGCAAAACTCATGAATTCAAGCAAAGACAAGATTCCACGACGGGCGGTGTAGACTCCCATTAGTTTGACGCTCAAATGCAAATGGAGGACAACTCGTCCATCGGGCGCAACGCCGCTCCTAACACTGCCCACTTGCGCGGCATGTTATGATTGCCTTGCTACATACCCCTCTTCACCATCTTATGGCTCACCACTAAGGGAGCACAATGGCTGACTGTTCCCGCCCACAAAATCAACGTGTACTGTGCCTTTAAGTTCAGTAATATTGCTTTCTTTTTTCCAGACAAACCAGCATGGATGATGCTGGTTTCTGCCATACTGTTGGCATGCGCTTTTCTCGATTCACTGGTCGTTGTATCACAGCTCTCATTCGCCAACGCCATCTCCCACCTCATTGTGAACGCTATCATGATGATATACTGCTTGACCGAGGTTTGCCAGTGTGTTTTATGCGTATTGATTGGCTTTCAAAACAGGACTTGAAGGTCCGTTCGTGGTCATTCTCTTCGGTAACGTTCGCTCTAGACATCAACACTCTACCAACAATGATTGGTGTGGTCGTGTTCGGTTATACTTCGCATATCTTCTTACCGAATCTCGAAGGGAATATGAAGGTAAGGCCTATCGATTGGATTATTGATCATTGACCCTCAGCCTGACGAGGTCATTTTAGGAACCAAAGGAGTTCAAATGGATGCTGAAATGGTCACATGTGGCCGCTGCGTTGTTCAAAGCAGTATTTGGTCTGTTCGGATTTCTGACATTCGGTGAACTGACACAGGTAGTTCTAGTTGCCCAGAGGGGTGGTTTCTCCTCCGTACCTAACTGATGTCACCATTTTAGCCCGAGATCTCCAACTCGTTACCTAATCAAGGATTCAAGGTGGTCGTCAACCTGGTGCTTGTCATCAAGGCGCTTCTCTCATATCCTCTACCGTTCTACGCAGCGGTACAATTGCTCAAGGACAATCTCTTCCGCGGCACAAAAACCACGCCGTTTACGGGGTATGGAAGCTCTTAGCCCCTGTTCTCAGGCAAGATACAGTTGCTCAAACTGCGCACATCACTAAGTTTCCACCTGAGCAGCACCTGGTCCCACAGAGTGCGAAATTAACATTTCTGCTGCTTCCGCGCCCCACTCCGGTGTGCGTTCACTAGTCAACTCATTCAATCCCACGAGGTATTTTTAGGGATATTGTATCCCGCCAGTTCCCTAAACACTAATCTTGTCGCCGCAAAACCTCCTACCACTCCGAAATCCCGCCTGATATACCTTGTTGCTTCAGTGTCGGGTTACGCCCGCTTTCTGCTCGTCTGCCCCCTCGTCCCCGGACACCACCTCATTGAGAGGCTGCGGACAAACAGAAAGGTGACGTAGCCTAGCTTTGCAGCCGACTCCCTCTCCCCAACTAATTTGGGTCTTGGAATATATTCATAAGAACTAACCAATCTCCTTGAAAGGTAGAGCTCAAAGGCACGGAGGTTGAGAGAACGACCAGTCACATACAAAAATGTCCACCCGTAAGCATGCGTAGCAACCACGTCCACAGAGCGTTCGACTACGCATCTCGCGGTATGTAGGTGCGTTGCTTACCTATGTACAACATAACGGACAAACGCTTCTCCATGGGGCAGCGTTCAGAATTCGCGAAGATGCGCGTCGACGGGTTATAAGGCGCTGTAGCACGCGTCGACGCGCTGCCACCGCAACCGTGCTCCACTAATACCGACGGGAAAGCAGCCATGGACGGATATCGATCGCCGCTGGCTGCTAGTGCTTTGACAGAGTATAGAATAGGAGGGTACACGTTGCCCGAACATAGTCTGTTCCTCTTATTCTTCTATGCTTTCCCAAATCACTGGTTTTGGCAGCAGTTGCAGTAGCAGCGCGTCAACGCGCGCCATCACTAAGTCTAAATCCTGCACAAGAGCTCCGCGTATACCGAGACTGCCTCCACTTTCAGATGCTACAGTCCCGATGGATCACTACGTGAATGGGCGCTTTTCTTGCGGATTCTCTTGCTCCTGTTTACACTTTTCATTGCACTGTCAGTACCGTATCTCATCGAACTCATGGGCCTTATTGGGAACATCACTGGTACGTTCATCTTATGTTTTACGAAGATTTCATGCACTTACCCCTCTTCCTACAGAGTTGGGTAGGAGAACGATGTGTTAAAAAGTGTCGGTTAGGTGCTAGGTGCATAAGGACTCGTTATTACTTCGCGCCATTAGAGAGTGACAGAATTTGCAGATGATATTATGTAGAGGTATGGATTTCGGAGATTGAATGAACAGCAAGCGTTGAATGATCGACTAATCGACGTGACTCCGTCCAATTGAAAAAAGCTGCTTTTTGCAAATTGATTATGATCAAAAAATATTAGGCAGCATTCAGACTCGGCGATGACGCGCGTCAATGCGCTGTAACGCGTTGTAACCCGCGCGCCGACTACCATTGTAACAGCGTGCAATGCATATACAGGAACGTAGCCATATGCGGGTATGAAATGGCGCAGGCCGTTACTTATTCGAGAGGGTCGCGTCATCGCATTCTGAACGCTGCTTCAAATGACAGAACTATGAATCAGCTTCGTCGACTCTCCACTTGCGCGTAATTAGACTGATCGACTTTCGCACTCTTCGTTTCGCGTTTTTTTTTCCAATTTACTAACGGCCCAAGGTATGATGGCAGCCCTGGGCCGCGTTCATACTCTGCAAAATGAACTATCCACTCGCGCGCCTGCTGGGTCGTCACAAAGTTACAGATACGTTTTTTCTGATTGTGATCGAATGCGTTGCTGCGCTGTCGTACGATCCGGAAATCACGCGACTGGATCATTTCAGTCGCGAAGTATGAACGCGGTCCTATCGTTCTTCACCAGTGACGTAAAGAGATACAGGCCAAGAGGTCCAAATCGCGGCGTCGTAAGTAGTGTCACGCGTAGCGCCACTCCGAGACAGTTCCTACACGGTACCGCGACACGGATCTCCTGACCCTCACCGAACATATAGTCACTGACCTGGAGTTACGTGTTCTGACAAAGATATTTCAGGCACCATGTTGTCATTCATCTGGCCAGCACTCTTCCATCTACGAATTCGTGGCGAGACAATGGTTAACAGAGATCGTCGTTTCGACCAAATGATTATCGGCTTGGGCTGCTCCATCTGTATTTCCGGAGTTTATTTCTCTTTCATGGAACTTCTACGAGCGATTCAAGCAAACGATCAGTGATTCTACTCGATCAATACCCGGCAAATGCATTCCAAAGCACACTTCGCCATAACCGGGTGTGGGGACTCATAACCGTTAGGCATTCCTCACTGACGCGCTCACCATATTGCATATTTATTTATGCGGTTCGGATTGGGAGGGGTATTTTCAATTTGCTAGTTCTTTCTTGCCCAGTTACACGTCTCACCTTGTTGAGACCTGTAGACCAAGAGTGATCGAACTTCCTATTACTGCATAACTTTACAGAAGTTTACAGGTCTCTACAGGAGGCATCGGGAGTGATCAACAGGGACTAGCGAACCCCCCCCCAAGTGAACTATACCTTCATTTATTTATATATACTATTAATGTAGTAACGAGAGTGTAATATTGTGTAGTACCTATAGTTAAATGCAGCTTCGTTAGATGGTGTGTTAAGACCTTAATTTACTCATATACCACTTGTTGTATATTATTTATTTTCGTTTTACTGTGCTTTGCGGTGAGATCAGATTATCAGTTTTATTCTGTTTGCATGAAAGTCTTAATTATTAATAACCACTTTTGTTGGAAGGGGCGGGGTTTGGAGAATTGGGTCGGCCCATAAGTGAATGGCGTTTTTTTTCTCACTCGAAATATCGCGCTAATGATGAAAAAAGTTGCTAATGAGTTTTATACTGTTTGGCAGAGAATTCCTTGCCCTATACGATAGTGCCCTTACTTTTTCTAGAATTTCTCTTTCCTTTGATATTTTAGTGCTCAAACTGGAGTGTCAGGTCGGCGGGAGCATTTTCGACAGCCTCTCCCCTTCACTTCTAATTCAAGGAGTAAACCCGCATGGGCACAGCTGCTAAGTATATGACTGAAAGGCGATGTCTCTTAGGAATGCTAATAGTACTTCAAGTGATTCGAAGATTTCAGTTTCACCCACAGCGGACAAGCATCGAACTAAATGCCCTATTCTCTCCAACTAGAGCTTACGAAATTACCTCATTCCGGGAGAATCATGCCAAAGATTGAGGAGGTCGTTAGAGGTCATAGAAATCCTTCCTTATTCTATCAACCACCAACCCTCAGCTGACGTAGAAATTAAATGAGTAGTACTGGCAGGTAGTCCAATCCCAAGACGACCTCCCATGCGATGCTCTTTTACAAAGTCCGAATTCCCAGCTCTTGCTCGCTTGAACCAACTTCAACTGCTGTACGGCCAAGGCGGATGTTTTCGTGGTCATATACATTCACAAAGTTTGCAGCTTGTTCTTGTTGATGAGAGCGAGATAAAATCAAAAGTATTATCGAAAACTCACTTTTGGGCTGACCTGAATTTCAATGATCTAAAAATAGATCCAAGTCGAGAAAGAGTAAGAAAGCAGTTACACTGTCTCATAGTGCGGAAAACCATCTATCAAACAGAATATATTGAGAACAATTGTCATTTCCCATATTGAAATTTGTGTGACAAACTCATGGGCCAACCTAATAGTTCAGTTCCCGTTTCCTCAGAAAGTAAAAGGAAATATGTTGATATTAGAAGAAAAGGCGTACCAGCAAAGAACCTACGACAGTTGTGAGTCTCCGCCTATCCGTTTATCGCGGTCTTTGGATGACACACGACGGCAGACGGTTCCGATTTTGATAGCAAAATCAGTGGCCCCACTTCAGTCGTGTGTCGCCCAACATACCTTCTGATCTCGTAGTACGAATAATAAATACGTTCTTGCCGTCTGAGAAGTTCTTTTTAAACCTGGATCGGTTCAAGACATCCGATTTGCCAAAGTGTCGCGATAGGGAGTACTCTGCCCAATCGCCCATTTCATGATTAATACTCACGTGAAACCTCACGCGTTAGGGCACGTTCATACTTCAGATCCTATCTTTTGAATCGCGCGAATCATGCGATCGGATTGCGGAGTATGGACGCGCTCTTATTCAGCCCCTGCACGTCGCCACAATTCGAATTTGGCTCGCATCACTTGGATTTGTTTGATTACAAATTCCGAGGTATCACCAGCCTCCTGTTGTGAGCTCGAAATCACCAAGGAAGTTTTCAACCGAAAACGCTTTATTGTAATCCAGGTACAACAAGGAATGACGTCATAAAGTTATTTGTACAAGGTCTGGTCAAACCGCTATACATATTGATTGATATCAAGGAATAGTCGAGAAAAAAGGTTCTGCACAAACACACACAAGGAAACATCAGAGAGAAAAACATGCGAAAAACCATCTATTTTGTCCACGACACTTTTGGAATATCGTTAAATTCCGTCAATTCGCTCATTTGCTTGTTGAACTCCTCCACTCGTTGTCGATGACTTACGGCCGCTTTCTTTTGCATTCTTTCGAACTGAAATATGGTGGATTACTAGAGAGATCAGTCGTGGTAAAAGGCATGAAGCATCTGCTCTACCTCTCTCTCTAAATGGCTAATAACTGCAAGAATTATTGTCGTGTGACCTCAGCAGGGATTTCATGCGCGCTATGTCAGTGTTCCAAGTGCTAGAGTTGTCGTGAAGGGGAGGAAATACTTCGATATAGGTCTTCAGGCTCTCAACTCAAATACCTATACGATTTCCATAGAAGTTGATTGCACGGTACAAGAGTCCATCGCTCCACCCATACCACAGCCGCCTTCCTGTTTTTCCTGTTTCTCGCTCTTATAGCCTCTAGCAGAGTGGACGCAGTAAACCTCTGCGTCCCTTCCCTTAATCGAAGCTTAGGCTATGTATTAGGTCGATGCATATATTATTCCACCGATTTTTTGTAAATATCTCAATAGCCAATGAGCCTGAAGATTAGAGGTATGCACCATCACATCCACTACTCGACGCCAACGCTCAGGCAGCTTGTATTCCACCCTCCCAGCCCCCCGACGAAGGCATTGTGGCCTGAAAATGCAGGATGCGTGAGTGATAGCCAGTGTGATGTAAGTGTGACGCTCACATGATGACGAAATACAGCATCATGCCAAACGAAAGACAGGTAAGTCAATCAAACACAGGGGAGAAAACTTACGCATCACAATAGAGTTGTCTTTTTACGATTTGTCCTTGGTGAGTCTGTGCTGTTCTAATTGGTATAAGTGGACTTTTGGTCAGGGAAGCTGCCCCAAAAATGAAGATTGGTCTTTTTATCGCTTTACACCAGCTGTCAACGCCTTGCTAAGAACCATTACCGGATCAAGGGGCGAAGGGACTAAGGCGCTTCACTGTCTACTCCATCCCCCCCACCACAACACACACTACTTTAGCGACTTTACATGAGCTCGACATGCGTATATTCTTCCTCGACTATTTTTCGATAAATGTTATTTCAGTAGGTTACTGCTACCTTGCCGACTTTATCCAGTCACTGTGCATCGTCGAATGATTACAAGCGAGCATGGCTCGCTATTTCGCCTTGGTGCTTAGGATGCGGGTTTCCTACCTCAAACGGCGTGGAAACGTAGTACTTCAAATCCAACTTCCAAGCGGGCCGACCGAGTTCGTGGAGCATCTTCGAGAGAAAATCTCCTTTCTTGAATTCTGGAGCGAACACTTACTTTGCATGTCATGGTAAGAGTGATCCTCGCCGTACCCCCCCCCCCCCCCCCCCCCCTGATGTATCGCTTAGCTTTCTATGGGCTTCCTTTGCATTCCAGCCGACAATCGTGAAGCAAAATCAGGCTGTGGCGCAGGTACATTCTGTCGCAGTGGTAGTTGTGCGACGTTTGCTACGCCTGAAAAAACAGCGGTGAGAGTGACTGAGTAGCAGCTGTGCATGAAGCAGATTTTCACACACACGAGTCAACCAACGTGACGACGAGTACCGAATCCTGCAAGACGCAATAAGGAAGGATCGAAAGCCCGCGGTAAAAGTATATACGCATCTGACCATAGTTACTCACCAGGCGCTAAAAGGTGGAGACGGGGGAACGGAGCGAGTGGGATTTCGCGTTTTACCATAGGAGGACTTGTAGGCTTTTGTCAAATGGAGACGAAGCTCATTCTTCTTCTTTTCTTGAATTAAAAAACGTCTTCTACAAGACAAGACTTCCGCAGTGAGTCGATGGGAATCATCAAAAATTGTCCCTTCAAGCCCAGCCGAAGAGTGATCACTTCTAGCTATACATATAAACGACTAAACTTCAAATTAAAAATTATCCATCTCAGTGCAAGGCAGCGTTATCAATCGAGAAACCCTTCATCCTTAATGGTGGGTAAAGAAGCGCGTTCGGTTACTAATCAGACAATCATTTGCGCCGCGCGAATGTATCGTTCATTCAGCAAACTATTGCATTAATGTGGTTTAAAAAGGTTCAAAAACAGTTTTATTGCAGTATTAAACGAAAAGGGTATCAATTATGAGAAAAAATCAACTCACCATTGTTTCCTGACGTCTTTTTTCAAATGCGATTTCTGCCTTGGTTTTTCCAACCGTTCCCGACTGCTCATCTTTCTTTATCGTCAGATCAATCATTTTTGGGTCAACCGTTTTCTTCTTCTTTTTCTTGAATATATCGCCTTTCTTTATCTTCAGACTGCCTTTTACTACAACTTCTTCAATAGCCATATCTGAAATAGATGTTTGGTTACACTTATGAAAGGAGCTCGGACTCAACAATGCAGAATAAAAAGACAATAGTAGAAGTGGTTACAACCGGTGACTTCAAACAGAACACTTCAGTTTCAAAAATTTATTATGTACAAACACCGTAGAAATCACTAAGCGAGATCTAAATCTACGCTAATTTACTAGCATCTTCATAGGGCACGCGTACTGTTCGACCATTCAATGGACCTTCCGTGATGCGGAGATTTAAACAAAATTCGTCTTGGTCCAGGCTTTCCAGCTTCTGAAATAAACTTTTTAGTGAACTATGTCGTTCATTTCGAAACAGAAACACGATAGGGAAATCTTTTGAGCACAAATTTCGCGAAAGCCACTGTGGGCAATGTTTTCGTCCCCAATCTGAAAGGAGGGACAGAACGGACTGCATCAGCCGCTCAGAGATAGTGGGCAAGATTGTCACCGTCCTTTGTGGAATGGGTGACTTTGGCCACAACCCATTTAGCCCTTTCATATATCGTATTGGCGACAACCGCTCACCCCAGCAGTCGTGCCCAGTGCCTTTGAGATGCGATTGAGGACACATTCTGCGGCTATGAATCCTCGGTGCTAAGGCCCAAATATAGGTTGGTACAAAAAATTGCCTTGTCAGCTATAAAAATGCAAAGAAGTTTTTGAAAACGCCCCAAGCCCTTCTCGGTTTTCTACTAGAGCGAGCAAGAGCAAAAGCCGAACAGGGACAGGTGCTGAAGGAATGAGGAAGAGACCAGACACGAACTAGCAGTGGTGTAACACTACTTCCTCTTTAGTAGTGCCCAACTTCTCTTTCGTAAAACCTCGGCATTGTTGTTACGTTTGTTAAATTCTTCTGTGCACACGAGGTTGGTAGGTGGAACTTTATTATGGCCTGATAAAGTTCCACCTACCAACCTCGTGTGCACAGAAGAATTTAACAAACTACTTCCTGCGACATCGCAGTACGAGTCGACTAGGAAGATGGAGTCGGCGTGCAGCGCCGCTGTCACTTGCAACGCCTATTTCGCCGTGACTGGGAAAAATGCTCCACACCCGAGTAGTGGGAGGATTTGGAACCGCAAAATTCGAGAAGTCGTCAAAAAGGGGTCCTATAGTTAGGATACTCAGATAGGGCGTTTGAAAAGGGCGAGTTGAATCGCAGCCCTTCCTGCTAATTGCCGATGACTCAGGATAGCGTCGATGATGGGAAGACCGCCTTGGCTCTAATCCACGCCCCGTAACGCATCCTATCGTTTCGGAATCATGACCCTAAGCACGTCAGCCATACGCCACCTCACAAGCCTCTGATGATCCCACCTGTTCGGTAATCACAGAATCACAAATTTCCGGCTAATGCCGTTTGGACTCCAGCAATTTCGGCACCGAGCTCATTTTTAAATTAAGTCACCAAACCCGCTGAAAACATGTACACAAGGGTTATTTAACATCGTGATTACAATTATGACACTCATTCTTGGCGCTGGCGCCAAGAGATGACACTACGATTACCTCTTGGGCTCAGCCTTAGCAGAGCGCAGATAATCGTAGTGTCATCCATTAGCGCCAGCGGCAAGAGTGAATGTCATATTCGTAATCAGGATGTTAAACTACCCCTATATACAAGTTTTTAGCGGATTTGGTGACTTAGGCAATTTAAAAATGAGCTCGGTGCCGAAATTGCTGGAGTCCAAACGGCATTAGCCCAAATTTCCGACACGCACGAAAGGAGGTAAAAAGGGGGAGAAGAAACAAATAACTGTGAATCTAAACACAAAACCGGCTCAAGAAGCCAATTCCATTCAGTTCCATCGCAAAAGCCAAAAAAGCCCAAAAACTGAAAGAGAACTCACGGCAACACATCCACGATAGGCTCCATTTACTATCTTCATCTCTCTTCCAACACTTGGTATTACTGTCTCCACGTGTGCTTGGTCGAGTTTAACAACGGTTCCTTAATTCACAGAACTAAAAATGAGGAAATATGGAAAAGTATAGGAAAAAATACCGGTTCTCTAACTGTGTTAGTAGGATATGAAAAGCTTGGAAAGCTGCTGAAGTTGCAAAAGCAGGCACTGTGCGGCTTGAGAGGGGCATTTTGCACTTCCGCCGGGTCTTTTTTTACTTCATGTTAACCCACAGCCTCATTTTCTGAGACCTGTAAACTCTTGTGAAGCTGCAAGATAGCGCATATAACATGACTTTGAAGGGCTTAACAATATGGCCGCACAGGCTTCTCTGTGTGCCATCTGTTGCCCCCACCAAGCCGAACTGCGCCAAATCACTTGCAAACAGCCCTTGGCATTACATGAAGCTCCTCGTATGATTCAAAAGAAAATCAAAATAATCAAAAATGCGCCAACCAAATTCATGTGTCAACCAGCAATTAGGAACTCTTTGAGTGGGGCACGAACTCAGTAGGAAGCTTTATAAAAGTGGGGAGGGGACAGATTCACAGACCACACTTTGAACGACTAAACAAATACGAAA